TGCCTCGAAGTTATCTAAAGCTTCCTCCTTGTTAGCTTTCATGAGATGCAACAGTTGTCTACTGCTGCTCTGATCACCATTATGATCCCGAGGACCAGGATTTGAGGCCGGAATCAACTTATCTCGAGATTCTTCCCGTTCTTTGAGCGTCTTTACAACAAGTGTTTTAAGAAAGTTCATCACTTGCACGGCATACATTAGAGCCGTCAATGGATCCAACATCTGCAATTACAATTACACAACATTGATGTCATTTTCCAGAAACCCACAACACAAACAATCTCTTAGCGATTTATCGAGAAACTAACCTGAGTCATGTTAGGTGCGAAAACCATAGCGATGTTGCGAGCATTCATCTTATTAAGATGTTCCATCTCAACAACATCAGCCATTAGATTGACTGCCCAATCTAACAAAGAAGCTTCTGTTGAAGGAAGAAGCCTTACAAGCTCCACACACTCATCTTCACTCTCAGACTCCATCACTTGCTCTGGTGACAGCGAATCCAACACGCCACTTGGAAGTTCCCTGAACCAAGCCTACAGGGAAAATCCAGATTCAGAACAAGAAAGGAAAAGAGACAATAAGGTTCTTGTGGAGTTTATGGGTTTTTACCTTAATGAGACTTGCTAAGCAGTGGACATCGATGTTATCAGGTATAACACCTTTATTCAACTCTTCTCTTATGTACTCCTCTTGAGCATTCTCACCATTGATCCGGAAAACTCCTTCTACCTATACGAAAGCAGCAGAAGAAATATTTATTTAAGCATTGCGTAAAACCGGATGGAAATTGCTTTAAACATGTGTATTTTACACGCACCAGCAATCCGCCTCTATTGTACAAGTGACTCTGCATCATCAAGAGTATCGTAGGCACGATGTTTCCTCTAGTATCGTAAGATAGTTGCATTGATTCAGTGGAGACTCCAAACACGGTTGCACTGCATTTACAAACACAGTTTTAATCAACTTCTGATCAAACAAAAGAGGTAAACTATCTATCTATTCACCCAAAATCGTTGAGAAGCCATTTACTTTATAAGAAATTTCACCCAAATTCATAAAAGATAATGGAAGTTCATTAAAGAACATAAACAAAATTGGGATCTTTGTTGATGTCAGAAGGAAGAACTGAAACAGGTATACACACAATGAAGTCCTCAATCCTATCTACTCACTCAAGATCCTTAACAAGCGATCCACTTGAAAACAGATTTCACACAAACTCATAGATAATAAGGGATTCATTTCAAGAACATCAAAATGTTAGCTTCTATTAACACAGAGGAATTTCAGTTATGGCAATTACTGGAAACAGAAACTAAACCACACCCACAATTGGTTATTGCAAAAACTGATAATTGATGAAGCGTTAAACACAACAGCCTCAACAACAATGGAATTCCAGAGACCAGAAACTTCAAGATTTTGTTAACCAAAACAAGAACTAAGAGAAACCCAAATCACCAAACATTAAAGTCCGATCATCTTCTATGCAAAACTTGATTGGAGATAAACAAAAAAAAAAACAAACCTTGCACTAGGAGCTCGTCTAGGGACTTCAGGTTCAAACTCAACAGGTAAACCAAGGAAGCCATGGAAACGATCAAAGGTAACATGAGCAACATGTCTAACATCAGTAGGAACACCAATCTCCATTGAACAAAGATGATCTTCACCAACACAACCACCAATCACAGACTTTCTAATTGCAGAAACAAGAATCTCCAATGCCGATGAAACCTCGAA